ATAATTTGCAGAAATTTGCTGAAGATGAGCACTCAAAGCAAGGAATCATTGTCGGGGACATCATCACAGCGCAAGAATGGTTTGCCATCGTCCAAGATTCAATCGTATAGCGATGCTGTTGCACATTTCAAGAAGAATGATCGCGTGAAATCGTATGATATGCAGGTTCAAAAATTTTTGAATTTCCTACAATTTATCCTTCAGATACTTGCTTGTAGCGAAAACTCACGAAAAACTGACAAAAAACTGGAAAAAATCGCCCCTCCCCCCCCCTCCCCTACCCCTTCAGTTATTTAAGAATGGAGAATTAGCTATAAAAGGTGGAGAGGATGTATATATCAGAATGATTTAGATGGCCTACTAGGGTCGATAGTGTAGTGGATAACAAGTCACGATTCGAAGGATCCGAATGTAGTGAAAATGAGGGGAACAAAGAAAAGTGGGATTTTGTTTGGAGCATTTCTATTAAACAAAAAAAAAGCAGGAAAATGTAGATAAGTTGAGAAATAATCAGTTTTCATAACTTCTTCATTTTAGGGTAATCCGGTGTGTTTTGATGATTGTACTAGTCACATAGGACGTCGTTACTTTGGTAATCTCCCACGCTGTAGTCAGGCAAGTAGACAGGCAAGTTTTGTTAGTTTTAGATGATTGTGCGTGGGAGTGTAGAATCTACGTTTATGGTAAAGATTCGTTTTGGCAACAAAAAAAACAGTGCCTTCCAACAAAGTCGAGGGTTTTACACTTGTAATTTAAAGGATTTTAGTTGACACTGACTTTGGTATTTTTAAAAACTATTGTTTCATTGTTGCGTTTCTTCTCACCACTGATTTAGCTGGTAATTTCTCCATTCTTTTCTGTTTTGGGCTTCTCTCATTCACATAATTCCATCGAAGTGGTGTTCTCGGATTTTTTTTTTCATTTTTTTTTTGAATTTTGAATTTGAATTTATAAATTTCATTTCAAAACAAACTTCTCGAATTGTTAATTTTGGTTAAGTGAAATAGTGTATTTGTTCTTATCTATCGAAATTTACAGGTGCCACGACCGCTGACTGTTTCGTGGAACTGTGATGGTACTCGTATTGCTGCTGGAGCGGAAAAAAGCGTATCTGTGCTCTCGTTCGATTCATCATTCAGAATTGTTCGTTTTTGTAGCATTTATTACTTGTTGCCCGTTTTTGAGACCTTCATGCGATCTTATTATTTTTCAGTTTTCATTTTTCCCAGGTGTAATAATATTTTTTTCACATAGTTTTGACTAAATTAATTTTTCTACAATTTTTTTGCGATTTTTTTAAAACAAATTTGAGATTTTTTAAAAAATTTAATTATTTTTTATAATTTTACATCTGTTTTTTAAAACAAATTCAAAGTTTTTTTTTGGTGATCTAATTATTTTTTAAGTTTAGTTATTTTTCATAATTTTTGATTTGTGATATACTCTTGCTCTTTGTCCAGTGCTGCATCGCCTGTTGTTTAGCCTGCTGGCATTCGTAATATTAGTTCCCTCTTCTGAAGGAGATATCAACTCATCGGTTTTCCCGGTAGATATACTTAATGAGATTTTAGCCATATCGGGTTGTTTTTGGTGGTGTGTACGTGCCTCTCTGTCTGTTTTTTTGTTTTTATGCGTTTATTTCTGTGTTCGTTCGTTTTTTTTTTTTTTT